ATATTTAATAACTGTATTTTATACTGTATTATTTATGTTTTTATTGATTTTAAATTGTTTTATTGTGAACCTCCCAGAGTTCCTCCTTGTGTGGGAGTCGGGTGGTGATATAAATTTGATTTATAAATAAATAAATATAAATAAAACAAACAAAACTTCAGAGTAGCTTTGATCCAGGGCAGTTCAAGAAATCGTGCACATACCTGCTTAGTGAAACCATAAACTGGCCCTGTAATAGGAAGAGCCAGTGAAGGATTCATATAGTTATTCTTGGTAAGAAGAAAAGGAGAAGGTTCTGAGTGAAGGCAATTAACATTTGGGCATGGGACCTGAAGGGAGAAAAGGATGCACAGGGACAGTTCAGTTTAAGGAAGAGGTTTATCCACCTTCTCCTGAAGAAAAGACCATAAAAAGTGATTGGTGTAGAAGGACTGGGATTAGTTCTTGTTTGGTGATGTGTGTAGAGTTTGTTTGGTCCATTCAGTTTTGGCAAAACTCCCTAATGGCTATTGGAAGGGAATGTTAAGTCATGTATGACATGAAGGAGTAATTCTGAACCCGACTGGTCTGCTTGTTGAAGTTACCAGATCACCTGCTCAGACAAATTGTCAGGTTTTCATTTAGATTCGGGAAGGAAGCAAGAAGTGGCAAGAAGTTGGTATCTTAATGTTCCTAGAAATGGTAAACAATTACATCAGGATGGGAAGCTCAGAGGCCTGGAATGTGATTTTTTTAAAGATAGCAATCATCTTACTACAGAGCTGTAATGAGATGTTCATCTAGGGAATTCCTGAGGTGTAGCAGTTACAGTTTGCCTTTTGAAGTATAGTTTCTGTTTGTTTTTGTTTTTCTGCTTGCCTGTAATATACCTTCAATCTTTTTGTTGGCTGAGATTCCATCAAAACCTCAGGAGAATAAGCAGCTAGTTGTGAACTGTATGGAATCCTACAGTTTTGGCCTCCAGCTTAGTTTCATTAGAAATACTTAATATACTAATATAAAAGATATAATCAGTCTAAAAATAGAATTTTAAAGAGAAGCTGTAGGAATGTCAGGGTCTATTTCTAAGCTTGTCAACCTCTGATTCAAAATTAAGCATATGTTTCAGTTTTGCATGAGATAAAGATTTTTAAATTTTCATGTTCACTACATAGAAGGCTGGTTATAAACTAAATCGGGTTATACACTACTTTACAACTAATATGTTTCCTTTCATAATATGTTTTGTTCGAAGTTTCATTTGGCTACCTTTTGAATTTTTCAATGTCCCTTTTAAATGTTTTGAGGGGAAATGTTAAAGCCATATTATTTTGACCTCCAAATAATTCCATCAGACTTGATTGAATAGTTTAAGTATATACTACTGTAGTAACTTATTGACATCTGCTCTCTGGACTGCCATCTTTTACATTAGTGTTAACACTGAAGTATCACTTATGCACTAAGTCACGTACTAGTGCTGAAATCTGAGTCGAAATTGGAAACATTCTCTCAGTTAAATAGAAGGGGTTTTTTGATAGTCAATATAGGTATAACATCTGTAATTGCAGCATATGAAAATCCCCATCTGTGCTCTTTTGCTTTTCTTATAAAAACAATCTTAAATATTTTCTGACTAGGGGTTTGTTCCTCATGAGGCTGTCATCTCTATATGTGAAGTTTTAAAACATTTTTAATCACTTCTGTAGCACCTCTCATTTTAAAGAATGCTCCTCTGCCACCTGCAGCCAATCTTCCTGTCACATGTGTACAGTATATATGAGTCAAATAACCTATAGAAAAAATGGTGGCAAAATCCTAACACAGCACAGAGTGGAGAAGATTATTGCTTTTCCCATTGCTAAATGTTTAAGCAAATGAGAAAGCCTGAAGTATTCTGTTATACTTTGACTACCCTTTGAACTTTTTTCAATAATTAACTTGTGTTTCATTTGGCCTAAGAACCTCATCTTCTTCCACAATACTCATTATGGTCCTATAGAAACTACTTTTCAG